TCAAAATGTAAAGAACATGGACGAAACCAATATAAATGAAAATAATACATTACAAAAATGCACAAATACCGAAAGTTTATGCCTCTAAATAAATTTATTAAAAAAAACTGGTTTCTAAAATCTTGTGAATCTTTTCACCAACAACTCAAGCGAACCATAATAAATAAATTTATCAAGAATGTATGTTTTATAATTAAATAAAATTTTGGATTAGTTTGAAATTTTGTTTTAAAGAATAATTGAATGCATATTAAATTTAGATCGAACTAGAGTATAAAACATATAAATTTTTTTTTGAAATAAATATTTAGCGATTGAATTGTATATACATATGCAATTAAATATGTAAATTTTTGTTGTAATAAATATTTAGAAAATTCTGTTTAAAATTTAGCCAGCAATAAAATTCACTTTATTTATTAAAAAAAAGTAAATTAATCAATTTATTTATTTTATTTACCCACAGAATTTTTGTATTTTTTGCTTGTTTTACTTGGTTACAAATTCCTTGAATAAGGTTTGTATATTTCAAACCCGCAGTTACAAATTCCTTGAATAAGGTCCAACGGATGCAAATTTAATTATCCAAAAAACTAGCATCCACATGCAAAATATAACTTGGCCTTTAGTTTCACTGGCAAAGCTTATTAGACGAGTGTAATTTTAGTATCTTGACCTAAATAAAAAAGCGTTACTTGATTATATGAATAGTTTTAATTTACACAACATATATAATAATTTTTACCTTTATAAAATTATAAAAACATCGTATGTTTATTGTAATCTTTTCATGTTCTTGGATTGGTTATCTTTCGTTTATATTTCTTAATATCCGTTACCATGGTGCTAATTCTTTTAAAGCTTTTTTCAACAGCTTGTGTCTATTTAATGTTATTAACTTCATGTTATTCTTGCACAATTGATAGTGCATCTTGTAAAATTGACTCGTAATTTTCAAAAAGCTGACTGGAATCATTATCATTCATTTCTATAGTAATATCTTTATATAAATAGTAATTAAAATTAGTTGAGTTATATTAATAAATAATCATTATTATATATTTCTTATCAGTTAGTGAATTATTAAATGAATAACTAGATGATGACATTAACATATTATCCGATGCTGGTAATGATGGTCTATAAATTGACAAGATTTCTTGAGTTTGTGTTAGCAAGGTTATAAATAGATATGTATCTTGCCATTGAACATTATGAAAAAAGATGAATTAGTAGTATTTGTATAAGAAAAACTGATTTAATAAAAATCCAGTGCAATTGCAAAACCAGTTTTCAATATTAGTCAAATAAGTATGATTAATATCTTTTTGTTTCAATATGTTTCATTCTTTTTTAAATTCTTTGCATCATGATGGCATTTCTCAACCAGAATAATATTTGTAATACTGTTGCTGAAGATGTGGTATAAGCTGTGTAATAAGGATATAAATTACAAGATCCAATTGTGGTCTAAAAAACTTTAGCAAAAAATCACGTTTTAAAATTTTCCAGTGAGACTCAATTAACATTGTAGTACAGAAAATACAAATTCAGTCTGGTATTGATGATCGTGCCCACAATGGCTAAAGTTCACTATGATATCAATTTTGCCACATATAAGACCAAAGATGTTTGAGATTATTTGTAGTATAAAATTCATATATTTCTTTTGTACACCATTCCCAGATTTTTTTTTTTGTCATCATAATCCCTTCTGAGTTAGGAATAAGTGGATGCAAATGCATATGATATTCCATCATTGAAATTATTTTTGGTTACAAGTTTTTAGGGCAAAAAATAAAATTATTTTTTGCTTTGGTCTTGTTTTCAAATAATTTAAGATAAAATCTAATATCAATAAAATTAAATGTATTATTTGCATTATATGAGCTATATGTCATTTTTTGAGATAGAGTATTGTCAGCAATCGTCTTTTAAGGGCTTTCTTGAAATGCCAATAATAAACTTGTATCTTAATGTTTGGTCATGCTTTTCGTACTGCTGATATCTGAGCAAGATCTTTATCTGTATATATACAAATAAGTTGATCTATTCCTAGATATAATAATACCTTGAAAAAATCAGTTAAAATTTCAGTTCGTGCATCATCCTGTTTATTTCCTTCAACGAATAAATATATTAATGCAAAGCCTGCCCCATCATATTAACCAATTACTGCATAAAGCTTATGTCCTAACTTATTAGTTTTATAGGTCACATCTACAAAAATTTTCTTATTTTTTTTAAATTGTTCAAAGAATGGTGTGATGAAACCTAAAAATCTAATTCCATTATTATTAAACATAATAATTTGGTAATTGCATTCTTCTAAAAGAATTTTTAACGATTTTATTTGATCACTATCTCAAATAAATTGTCCTTGAATAAAGATGGTCCACCATGCATGTATTTGTTTTTGTGTTATTTCAGAATAATCACATTCTAATGTTCTATAAATCTTACTTGGCATTAGATGAAGATTGACTTTAATTTTATTCTTGATTTCTTCTGTAACTCGATTTCTTTCAGGTTGTTGGTGAAGAATTTCATGTTTAAGATAAATAGATGCATGATTTGTCATTATATTTATAGAAATTCTAAGTGTACCACTGTAATCAAAACATTCAATTGATTCATGGTCTCTTTAGCATTTAAAATCTTGATGTTTGTGGTGTTTTTTTAATAAACTTCGACTTTGAGAACAATGATATTGAAAGGTATGTAATTCATTGTTTTTTTTTGACTCATATTGATTTAAATAAATGCAATAATAGCCATCGCTATCACCTATTAAATTTGCAATTTTTTTTGCTATTTCTTGGGGTGTATCTTCTTTGTCATTAAAACCATCTAATACAATATTTGATTTAAAATTAATTTCATCCAATTCATTTTCAAAATATTCATCAAATCCGACTACTGAAACTTTATTAAAAAGTTCTTCAGCTATTTGTTCAGAAAGCAATACTTCATTTTCAACATGTTTGCTTGAAGGTTTGTAATGTTTAGAAAACTGTTGGCGGCAATATTCACAAGTATTTAAGGTTTTTTTTTTTTTATAAATTTATTTATAGACATGAACTTTCGGTATTTGTGCATTTTTGTAATGTATTATTTTCATTTATATTGGTTTCGTCCATGTTCTTTACATTTTGA